TAAACAAATATTTAATCATAATTATATAACTAATTTTTATAATATATTTATTCGTTTAGCATGATCATGCTTTACAAAAAAACTTATTATGGAAAACAATGAAAAGTTTTAAAATATATTTAAATTTCGCGGTATTCCACCATGATGTGTGTGACATAAAATGGACGCAGTTATCTGTCAAGTTCATTCCCATGAAATTCCGATATTCGATTTCTTAGCGTAATCATAATACATCGTCAAAAAACATTAACATCAAGTAAAGTATACTATAACTTTTCTTTTTTGTTTCGTTTTCGGTAAAAAATAAATTAAAACTACATGGATTCACTTACCGAGAGCAGTAAGCGGGCCCCAATGGCACACATTCTTTAACGGATCGACACACATGTCGGCACCATCAAACTCTCCTAAAATATTCTTTAAATTCTAATAACCATGTATTTGATCCGTCTACTCCAAACGTGCTTGTTATATTTAATTTATTTTTTTACATTTTATCCCTCGTCTGGCGAATACTGGATCCATTCGAACCCATTCTAATACACAGTCAAACGTCAACAGTCGTCGGTTTACGTCACTCCCCACCCTTTTTCATCACTGCAGAACAATAAGACGGAGTCGGTTCGTCGGAAACGTGCACCATGTAGTTTCAGATTAGTATCTATTTTAGCAGCGAGTAAGGAACACATGTATATTTAGCAGTCTTTAGTTGAGTTATTGGTAAAGTAAGAAAGACGATTGAAGAATATGAAAACTGTATCTTCTTTGAACTTGTTGAACGCGAACGAAGGAAAAGTGAAATAAGCGAAGATGTGAAAAATCTGAAACAGTGTTCCTTTTTTTTCAATACTGAAACTAGACCATATTGAGCTAAACATTATGTATTTGGTTTATTATTGATTATTGGTTGATTCAGAGAGTCATTGATATTGTTTTATTGCTGTAATTTTAAAGTATAACGCTTTATTAGATAACTCTCCAATTATTGGCAACAATCTGCCTAAATAATTACAGTGGACAAATTCTTCACTGATGTTATAGTACTAGCAGAAGAATTAGCCGCAAATTTTATCTTGTATAGATGTAACCATCGCATAGTAAACTACACAGCCATTAGTCAAACGAAATTTTACTCTTCTTAAAATTGAATTAGTGTGTGTGATGACTGCTACTAGTACTACAATCTTATTCCACTGCTGAATTAGTAATGTTGAAAGTGACATTGAAAAAAAATCATAAGACATAAAAAGTGTATCGGGTATTAAGTCTATCTTATATCTCATTTGTGGTAGTTTAATATATGTAATACTATAGCAATATATGTATGTAATAGCAATATGTAAAATAAAGAAGACAGGGATCATGAAATGGTAATACTTTAATTACTTACTTGATAAACCTGATATTAATAATATCTAGTAATACTAGACACTAACATTTTAAATTTGTGGAATGATAATTTAATATGTCATAAGATTATCGTTTGTATAATATTTTCCTACTTGACCGTTTCAGATTGTATGGCGTTTTTATAATCGTTTAGTAATCGTTTGCCAATACCATAGGAGATTCTACTAAATCTAAATTCTAATTGATTTTTAATGATTTAATTTATAAGCCATTTTTAAAATGAGAAGACTGAATAATCGTTACTGATCTATTTGCATGTGATTATAATCATTTTTGTTTACATGTAAGTAATTCCTCTATCACTAATCACCTTGGTTTTTGTTTTACCACGTGAATAATTATAGTTCAAGGCTTACCAATACAAACTAAAATTACTTTATATATTACTTAGAATATAACAAAACCAGTACATTCTACCTATGTGCAACTTATTTTTGTGCAATACAATATTTTGTATAGGTTATGTGCATAAAACTGCATTATGAGTAACTGTAAGACGGTGCATGTAGAAACTTTAAATGTATAGACTAAATTAACTTTAAACAAATGGTTCTCCTGAAAAGTATCGCTGTGTACGAATTAAAATCATGAGTTAGTAATGCACTTTTAAATTTAAAAACTTTGAGTACTCTTTCCAAATACTACATTGGGAATGTTCTATCAATTTTATCGATCACAATATATAGTGAAACCCCTGGTTGGCCGTAGTTCGAAAAATTGAAATAGGAAATTCTTAAATTCTTAAATTCATCACCCGAAGCAGATGATCCTTCAACATCAATAATAATATAAATAACACCGTATCATCTATGCCATTCAGTTAATTTCAACTCATCACAGGCATTGTATCATTACCACGTAACTTTTATTATTATATTTCTGTTGCTTTATTTAAATATTAATTAT